AAATTCTGTTGTAGTTTCCATTTTTCTACTTTGATCTTTATTTGTGTGCCTGTTTACTTACTTGGATGTGATCCTAAAAGTGGAATTACTGGGTCAGAGGGCAGGAACATTTTTAGCTGTCTTCTTATATATTGCCAAATTGCTTTTCAGAAAGGGTCATCCTTCTGTCCTGGGTGTGTAAGAATCCCAGGCATGTTTTCCCTACTGGAGTTACCTGTTTTAAGGAACAATCTTCTCTATGTTTTAGCCTCCCTGCTGCCTCTGTCTCCCACCTAGAGTGTGATCCATTTGCTTATGGTCTGTTCCAATCATCATTCACCTCTTATGATACAGGCCATTACAATTCACAGCTCCTGGGACAGTCTTATTCCTGGTTTGAATCTCCAGTGGTGGAAGAAATATTTTTGCACAAAAATCTCTGAGGACTTCTTATTTTAGAATAAAATAGGCAGCCGGGGACTCTTGTGGACTTCCCTGTTACCAGACAAATCCTGGTTGGGAGTCCCAGTTTAAAGACCAGTTAGCCTACTTCCTGTTCCTGATTATTGGGTAATTCCAGGCAACTCACTTTCTCTGTTTTACTTTTTACCATAATCAAATATATAACTTATTTTAATTTATAACAATACTTAGGAACTTACATTCTACCCAAGAAATCTGGATCATTATGAAACTTTCCTCTTAGCCAGGCCTGGTGGCACAGGCCTATAATGCCAACTGTTTAGGAGCCTGAGGCAGCAGAATCAAAAGTTCAAGGCTTGCCTGGGGAACTTAGTGAGATGCTGTTTCAAAATTTTTTAAAAATCTGGATGTGGAGGTGCACACCTTTAATTCTAGCATTCAGGAGGCAGAAGCAGGTGGATTTTTGTGAGATCAAGGCCAATGTTGTCTACATAGTGAGTTCTAGGCCAGCTGGGGGTTCAGGAACACCAAGTCTCAAAACAAACAAGGAAACAAAGTTAAAAAGAGGGGACAGTGACTGAAGTTGTAACTCAGTGGTGGGCACAGCACTTGCTTAGCATATGCACGACCCAAGATTCCATCCCTGGAACCCGAATTCCCTCTTCTTACTTTATGTATCATTAGTTATTTGAATTATGTGAGGCTGTGCTTTTTGATTTAGTGCATGCATGCCCCCACCCTGGGGTGTGTGTGTGTGTGTGTGTGTGTGTGTGTGTGTGTGTGTGTGTATGTATGAGAGAGAGAGGGAGGGGGGAGAGAGAAGAGGGAGAAGGGAGGAAGAGAAGGAGGAGGGAGGAAAGAGAGGGAGGAGGGAGGAAGAGAGAGAGGAGGGAGGGAAGGAGAGAGAGAGAGAGATCATACTCAAATTAAGACAATATTTTGATTTGCTTTTGCTGAAGTCCAGGAAGATACATGAGAAGAAATGAATCTGAACACTCACCCTCGCAGTCATTACTATTCATTTCAAACTAGCAGTTTTCATGTAATGAAGACATTCAGTGTATATAAGAGTAGCCAGGTGGGGTACCAGTTAGTTTAATCCTAGCACTGAGGAAGCAGAGGCAGGTGGGTCTCTGTGAGTTTGAAGCCAACCTGTTCTACAAAGTGAGTTCCAGGCAGCCAGGGCTACATAGTGAGACCTTGTCTCAAGAAGTAAAAGCTATTGTAGCCGACGTTCTCTTCGTATAATTGACTTAATGTCATAGGAAAAGACAATGAGCAAAATACCAAGTTTCAGTAGTATTAAGTGCAAAAGAACGGGGTGCTCCCTGATGGTTTAATCATGGAGAAATGGTCAAATAAGTCACGCTGAGCTCAGTGCATTAATGTTAGGAAACCTTCAGAATCAGCGCTAATAAACTAGTGAGCTAATCAGAACCACATTTCCACATGATGCCACTTCTACTGCTGATCTGTCGCCTGCCTCCCACTGTCTTGATGTGACTCAGCTGCCTTGGGCCATCTGCGAACCCCCTCTCCCCTAGATGACGGTCTGGGTGTTATAAGCAGAGATCTTCTGAGCTTGTCTTTTGGTTCCTGGGAGCTGCACATCACAGGTCCATGAGGGTGGGAAGCCCCTCAGCAGAACAGGCTTTGGGGAGAGCACGCCCACTGTAGTCTCTGTCTTGAGGGAGAGGCGGGCACTGGTAAATCTAGAGGCTGAGAAGGAGCTTTGAAAGCCTCTTTTTCGACATCATTCCACCCAGCCTTGTTCTCCCAACGCATCTGAATGTTTTCTTTGAGGTTTCATTGGACAGTTGGGTGTGGTGGCACACACTGTAGTCTAGCACTGGGGAGGCTGAGCAGAAGGATCACCAAGTTTGAGGCCAGACTGGACTGGATAGCGAGACCTGTTTGGGATGGGGGAGAGGGAAAAACATCTCACTGGAGTAGCTTGAGTCCTTTGTCCCCTGGAACTCCTGCCTCTGGGCTGGGTTGGCATCCAGGGGATTTTCCTCATTCTTCTTCTTAGGCTGGCATGGGGTCTCCCCTGACCTCACTTGTGGGCTCTGCACTCTGTCATGCATGGTTGCTCTGCTGCATGAAGGCCACACTCCTTGAGCAGACTGAACCCTTTGCAAGGGATTTGCTGCCCCCTGGCCTTGGCCGGTGTTTCTGGGTGTGTCTCCAAGGGCACATCCCAACACTGGCCTGTACCTGCCTCTTCATTCGTCTGAAGTCAAACTTGCTCCTCGTGACTCTGGAGCACCTCTGAGCACCTCTAAGACGCCTTGCACGGGGCGGCCTCCCCCACCCTGCCACTGACCTGCACTTCTGCTACTCTGCTACGCAGCTTCCTCTTCTAAACCTCCCAGTCCGAGTCCGTCTCCTGCCCCCTTTGCTTCCGCCTCTCTTCCTTCCTTTTTAGCTGTGCTGTATCCATCTTTGCTGTTTCCGTCAGCCTTAACGCCTCGGTGACTACCATGGATCTGCTGATGATACTGGGGGTGGCTGTGGCTTTCGTCCTTCTTGGGAATCTGGCCAGGAAATACCTGTACATGGAGTTCACTGTTCACTGGTGTCTGCAAGTGTGAATGTGAATGTTTGTGGTGCTTGTTTCCTGATACAGTCTCTCAGCACTGTGGGAGAGAACTCTTCCCTCTGCCAGCTACCACATTTAGAGAAAGCCAGATGTTGTAGAAATAGGTCTTGCTTGCTTGGTGGGACTTGCCCCCCTCTGGGCTTGGAAGCTAGAGCAGAGTCTCTGCAACTTGCTGAGCCAGTGTTGGGGGTGGGGAGGCCTAGCAGTCATCCCCCTCCTTTGTTTGACTCTCTGGCCTCTGTAGCTGGGGCCATTGTGTGTCCTGCCCTGTTGGAGTCAGTTAGAGCTCAGTGGTTGGGTATTACCTGAACATCATGTGGTGCTTTGTAGCCCTGTGGGGCCCCTGTTCTACTTCCACATGGTACCGTGGGCCCAGATCAGGTGTTCCTCTTTCCTGGAGGGGAGGGGTTCCCGCCCTTTCCTTCCCCCCTCAGAGAGGCCCAAATACATTCTGAAGGGAGGAGATGCGACCTGGACACATGGCTGGTCTCACATTACCAAAGGTTCTGTTCTGGAGTCAGGGAAAGCGCTGGGGGTTAGGGACTCGCTTTCCCAGAATGGCACTGAGGTGAGTCAAGCCAGGAAGAGGTGCGGCTGACAGTCAGATGGAGCTTAGCTTGTCTCACCAGCCCCTCCTTCCTGCCATGCAGGGTAATGTGAGCAGAGGCCCGGATGCCCTATGCCAATCTGCAGAACCGAGTTTGTAGCATTTGGTAGCTGTAGGAGTCAGCTCAGGTTGTCATGACAAAGTACCATAGGTTGAAAGCTTAAACAATGGAAATTTATTTTCGCACAGTCTGGAGGCCGAAGTCCAAGATCAAGGGATCTGTTCCAGATGGCTGTCTTCCCCAGGGTCTCACATAGTCTTGTTTTGGTCGCCATTGGGTTCCAGATTTGTCTTCTTACAGAGGTGCTCATTCTGGACTATGGCCCACTCTAATGACATGTTAGTTAACTCTTTAAAGACCCTGTTCGAAGCTGGGCATGGTAACATATACCTGCAATCCTAGCACTTGTGAGGCTGAGGCAGCAGGATCAAGAGTTTGAGGATAGTGTGGGCTATACAGAGGGAGACCTTGTCTCAAAACCAACCAAACAAATGAAAAACAAACCACAAAAATCCTCAAACAACTTTACGTCTAAATCTAATCACATTTTCAGATGCTGGGTTAGGACTTGGCATAGGAGCGCACAGGGAGGTCAGCTGCAGGGTGCTAAAGGATGTGGCCCTGCTGAGTGGCTTCAGAAACCAGCGGCATTTTAACCCCTCAGTGTTCCATTTCTGACCTCAAGAAAATGGGGTGGGATGGGGACTTCTTGATCTAAATTCCTGGGTCTTCTTCCTTGCTTAAAAAGAGTTACCATCCACTTCCCAAGGCTTTGTGAAGAGTCATAACATAATAACTTCTGTTTATGAAGTGCTAACCTCATGCCTCCAAGTTAATTCACAGCCCCAAATCCTATGAGATATGGTATTATGATTATCCTCATTTTACAGATGTAGAAACTGAGGTGTAGAAAGATTAAGAAGTAATTAGTGGTCACAGAGTAAATGTAACGAACTAGAATTTCAACTGAAGTCCTTGATTTAAAGTCTAGGCTGGCTGGATATAGATTAGTGGGAGAATGTGTGATTAGCATGCTAAAGGCCTTGAGCTCTTGATCACACACACACACACACACACACACACACACACACACACCAAGCTTGTGTCCTATAGGGATGTAGAATGCCTGATACTATGTTTGGCAGACATTAGGGCCTCAGGAAAATTAGCTGAATCCATGCTAATGGGTTTTGGTGACTGTCCAAAGAGTTGGTAGAAGTTTCTAGGGTCCAAGGGATGGGCATTTGGTACCTGGGGAAGGTGGTGGTAAGGAGAAGCAGCACAGCATGTCACAGAGGTAAGTCAAACCTGGCATCAGCAAGGCTCATCAAGGTCCTGAGACAGAGCTGGCTTTACCTTCTCACCAGCTCCTCCTTCCTGTCATGCAGGGTGATGTGAGCAGAGCCCAGGAATGCCTTATGTGGATCGCCAGAACCGAATCTGTGGGTTCCTGGACATCGAGGAAAATGAGAGCAGCGGCAGGTTCTTGCGGAGGTACTTCATTCTGGACACCCAGGCCAACTGCCTCCTCTGGTACATGGACAACCCCCAGGTGAGAGGCCAGGTGGGGAGCGCAGCGGGCAGCTGCTGGGAGGAGGGCAGGGACTGACTCTCCAGAGCTTCATACTAGGGGCAGACGGAACCTGCTGGTCAGTAAGGAGCCAAAGACCTTCCCACAGACACACAGAAAGAACCTTCCTAAGAGCTGAGGTCTAGCTCAATGGTATGTGTACTTAGCAGATACAAGGTTCTGGTTTAGTCCAGAATAGGGGGAGGTAGAGGGGAGGGAGAGAAGAGGGAGGGAGAGGAGAGTCAGGAGAAGAAAGATCTGGGAGACGCTGAGCTTTCTACCTAGGTCACAGGGGTTTAACACTTGGCTTTTGCTTCCTTTCCCCTCTGGGGCTGTGGCCCAGTGACTGCTCCTGCTCATCCAGTCTGGGGACCTTCCTCAGTAGATACCGTGACGTGGTTCCCTGCACTGGATACTACTGGACTTCTTTGGTGTCCTGAATCAGGAAGTCATGGGGTCTTGGGCTGGCAGTGACCTAAGGTCATCTGGTGTGGCTTCCTCATGCTGCAGAGAAAGAAACTGTGCCCTAGGCACTGCAGTTGACCTAGGCAAGGATGAAGCGACTGACTTTGCATTGTGTGGAGGCCAGGTACAAAGATGGGGCCACCTAAATTTTAATGGGGAGTCCCTGGAAGAAAACTGTGCTTTGGGAACCCAAAGCGTTTTTTGTCTTTTCTTTTTTGCCATTGAATGCCACTGGCTCTTCTTCCCATTACCCCAGAGCAGTTTGGTGGAGATGAGGCCAAAGAGCAGCATGGTCCCTGACCGGCAAGGCCGCAGGGAATGGCTAGGGCATGGCTGTGTACAGAGGACGGTGTGGGGTATTCATGTCTGTTCAAAGACTGACGAGAAGGAAGGTCTCAGTGCTGGGGGAGGGGGTGCGCTTTAAGATATAAGGTTGGGAGCTGTCAAGGTGGTTCAGTGTGTAAAGGTGCTTACAGCTAAGCCTATGACCCAGGTTTGATCCTGATGATCCACATGGTGGAAGGAGAGAACCGATTCCTTCAAGTGGACGTATGACCTCCATGTGCTCGGTGTACATACACACCATAAATAAATAATAGTTTTTAAAAGGTGTGAGGTGGAAAAAGTCATATGAATGCCCTTGTCATTATCAAGAAACTAACCCTCTAGGGGCCTTTGCTGTTTATCTTTCGGATTTGAGGGCTGAATAAAAACGTTATAGGTGTAGGAAATATGCAGAGGTGAGGGGCTGAAGGCTGCCTATGCCAGGAAGGACCGAGCCCTCCCACATTTTAACCTGGGTCTCCCATAAGACAGCTGCTTACCTTCATTTATTGCTGAGCGTTTGAACTAGTTCCTGTGTATGGAGCTGTGGCCGTGCCCAGTCCTGGTCTGCCTTCTGGCCCTGCTTGCCATTTCCCTCAGGATTTTTGTCCTGATCTCCCTGCTTAACACTATGCTCTCTTTCCAAGCTGTTCTGAACCCTGACTCACTTTCTTAGGCAGTCCTGCCCACATGCTGCCAGATGCTTCTCCTAAGAATTTGGATTTCTGTTTGTTTGTTTGTTTGTTTGTCCATCCGTCCCTCCCTCCCTCC